TAGCAGAACTCGGAAAAAATATAAAATATACAGTATTCACTATGGAAATATTACCTTTCACGCTTTTTTAAATTTCCAGGCATGTAATTCACAATTGTTCAATTTCCTGATATTGCATGATCTTGCTAACTTCTATCAACTCTCTATCATATTATATAGACGTTCATAGAGATTATACAGACGTTCTTCAGTGTTACAATATGTAATCAATATATGATTCATATATTATAACACTGAAGAACGTCTGAACAGATGACCTGTTGCACTATAGCGGATCCTCCTGAGAAATGCTCTCACTGTACTCAGAAAGTCTTACCATACTCGGGGTTGTTTTGCTCTTCCTCCTGTTTCTTACGGCCCATCTTTTCACTTCGCGATCAATAATAACCGCGTGAAATGATCTCGAGCTGTTTCACTGCTCTGCAGCACTCATCTGAATCGATCAAGTCCGGTATCAGCGCGCGCTGATCTGAGTTTAGTGCTGTTGTATTGTCTGTAAATCTTTGGTGGAGTAACTAAGCGCTGTGATGACGTCACGCGGCACCTGCCGCTGCGAGCTCCACAAGCTCACCTGACGCACGCTCACGCCCTCGTGCGCCGACCCCCGCGGACACACACGCGTCCTCTTCCGGTGGAAGATTATAACAGCCCGAGAAACTTGTGTTACTTTTGCTTTGTCCATAGCCTTGTCCAAATACCCACACTTGCGGTATTTGCACTTGACCACTTATATGACGTATTTCCTGTATTTGGCCCAAGTGTTCAAGTGAGGATGAAGACCACAAGTGTATGTCGAACTTTTCATTACCTGATGGGACACAGTTATAGTGTTGTAAAACTGCAAGTGTTAAAATAGCTTTATTTTATTTTATTTTTTTGGCATTTTAAAATCAACTTCTAAATGTCTGTTCAATAGTCCCTATAACATGACACAATTTAATTTGTGGTGCTTCTAATTAAGTGGTGAAAAGCAGTTGCAACTGTTGTACAAAATAAATATCACCACTACTCATCTTTGCACCAATAAAACGTCCAATACTTTGTTTTTCTACCAAATTATATGCAATATCTAATTATTATATTAATATTTAGCTTACATTTGAAAGGTTTCTGTGACCTATCGCGAGACCTCTTTCCAGAACGTAATGCATGATGGGATACACTAAGCCTCGAATAGCGCTCCTTGGCGGTAGTGTGGATTGGGCACTGCACCTTAGCGTTTTTAAAGGGGTCATATAATGCGATTTCAATTTTTCCTTTCTCTTTGGAGTGTTACAAGCTCTTGGTGCATAAATAAGTCCAACATCCCATCTACCATGACTCAGGATCCAGGGGTTAATTACCCTTATTCCTAAGCCTTAAAAAAATTGGACTATTATTGATAATTGGCAGCCAATTAGTCTTTTGAATAATGATTATAAATTAATTGCCTCCATTTTCTAAAAGAATTAAGAATGTATTAGAATATATTACAGATGAAACTCAATCAGGCTTTATGAAAAACAGGCACATTTCGAATAATATAAGGTTGGTTTTAGATATATTACATTATTATTTAATTGATGTAAATATTTTTATTTTATTCTTAGATTTTCGTAAAGCTTTTGACACTGCGGAACGTAATTTTTTTAATTTTCTTCTTTAAAGGTTTTTGGGTTTGGTGAGTTCTTTTGTGCAGCAGTTCAAACCCTGTATAATAATGCAAATCGCTCAATCAAACTCAAACATGGAACTACCTCTAGATTTGATTTAAAAGGAGGTATTAGACAGGGTTGTCCTATCTCTCCGTATCTTCTCCTGCTTGGTACCCAATTATTATCTGTGCATGTTAACAAAAGTATTCTTAAGGGTGTCTCAATTGCAAGCAGAGAAATTATTATAAGTCAGTTAGCCGATGATACAACCCCTTTTTATTTTTTTTTTAAATATAGTGGCCAAATTCCAATTGCAGTTAATGTTATTAATAAGTGTTCTAGTGCCTCTGGCCTCTATCTCAATATTAGTAAGTATGAACTAATGGCTGTTAAAGACTGTGATTTAACATATATTTGTAACATTCCTGTAAAAGATAGTGTTACATATAGGAATCATTATTGTTAAAGACCAGCTTTAAAGATGTTCTCTCAATTTTAACCCCATAATTGATCAAACTAAAAGAAAATTCAACTTCTGGCTTCAAAGAGATCTCTCCCTAAAGGTGGGGGGGGACTTTTAATTAATTTTGTAAGTAGTAAAACAACACAAATGGGGCAAAAATGCGTTTTAAGTTTAGAAACATTTTTAGTCTCCCCCTCCCTTGCCTCACAGTGCTTTGGTCCAAATGCCTGCTTTCCTCTTTTACATGATGTGTATACATATCCTTACAAGTACAAGTTTAGCTGTATTATTTGTGTCCCCTTCAAAAATTGCTCTTGAGAAATTTTATGTTTATTGTCCCCCCCAACTGTTAGATGAAATTTACACCCCTGCATATGAGAATTGTGGCCTGAATTTCTTAGATTTCACCACTATGAACCACACTTTTAAGATTAATTGGATTAAGCATCACTTTAAAAAAAAAAAAACTTCTGTCTGGAATTTTATTCCTCATTATGTTTTTTCAAATACTGGTGGTCTTAGTTTTGTTTTGATGTGGAATTATAATATAGATAAAATTCCAGCTAAGTTATCTGCCTTCCACAAACAAGTTCTCCTATCTTGGTCATTAATATGCAAGCATTCTTTACAAACATAAATCTCTTTTTTTAAAGAACTGGTTTGACGATATTAAATTGGTTAGTCAGTTATATAGTAAAGAAGGAACACTCTTTTCTTATGATGAATTCCTTTCTTATTGTAAAATGCCAGTTACTCAAAAAGAATTTGCAGTTGTTATTGGTTCAATCCCTTCAGGTACTCACATGCTATTTAAATGTATTGATATAGACCATTCTCCCGATTCAGTGTCTTTTAATGTTACTAAATCTTATGTTGGTAAAATTAGTTTTTTATAACTCCAAACATAATAATAGAGCTATCCGTACTCTTTTCCAAAGAGAAATTGTCACTGTACCTTATGTTTTGACTCATTGGGTCTCTTTATTGAATGGAAAATTGATTTGCTGGAGAAAAGTGTGGTTGTTACCACAGAAATATCATCTTAGAAATAAGATTAAAGAAGGTTCTTATAAGTTTATTCATAGATTTTATCTAGCAAATCATTATTTACAAAATGTTTTAAAAGGAATAAATGTGAATTGTATTTTTTGTAATGAATATGAGGAAACTGCCTTGCACTTATTTTGGCACTGTACATACTCAGTTACACTATGTTGTAAGGTCCAAAAATCTATTAGCGAAAATATTCAGTTTAAGACCTTCTTCACTCCTATGGGAAAATGTACTCTTTGGCTTTACTGACTATCCTGACCAAGAGGAACAGTACTTTTACTTAATTAATTTACTTATTCTATTGACCAAATTTCACATTCATAAGTGTAAATTTACCAATAAAAAACCCAATTTTATGGTTTTGTTGACTGAAATACTGCCTTGCACTTATTTTGGCACTGTACATACTCAGTTACACTATGTTGTAAGGTCCAAAAATCTATTAGCGAAAATATTCAGTTTAAGACCTTCTTCACTCCTATGGGAAAATGTACTCTTTGGCTTTACTGACTATCCTGACCAAGAGGAACAGTACTTTTACTTAATTAATTTACTTATTCTATTGACCAAATTTCACATTCATAAGTGTTAATTTACCAATAAAAAAAAAAATTTTTTTATGGTTTTGTTGACTGAATATGTATGTATTTTGACAGTATCAGAGACTCTGTGAATAAGAAAGCTGTAAGAACTTTGAAAGTTTGTGAACTTTACAATATATTTATTTGATTTTATATATACGTATGTGTATGTATGCATATCTTGTATTTTTGTTTTGAAGTTTTATACTTTCCTACCCCTGGCAACTGTTTTGTTGGTTGTAATTCGTCCTATCTTTTTTGTTTTCTTATTTTAATGTTGTTTTCTTGATAACATATTGTATGTTATTGTCATAGACTGTATAAAAACATGGACGTAGTGTCCGTGACGTCACCCGTAGATTTCCGAAGACTTGTTGGCTTCACGAGAGAGAGCGGGAGGTTGCCGCTTGTTATTGTGCCTTGAATTAAAAAAAAAAAAAAACCCTTAGCGTTTTTAAGACCTGGGACAGTCTTGCGCACGCGCTCTCAAGTGGCTAAGACTGCAAGCGTGGGTATTTGGACAAAGGGTTTGTTTTACAGGATGGAGTGTTTTTAGGTTTTCGTTTCGTGCAACTCAAACTGTATTTTGTCCAACTATTTCAACGACGTTTTAAATAAAACACTGATGTTTGTGATAGATTTTTAATAGTGATACATAAAACAAATAAATAAAGTGACTTTCACTTGTCCTCCCATACAGCAAAACGCTTAATGTTGTATAATAACGGATGATAAAGACAATTCAGTAGCCTATATGTCTTGTTGTTGACTCAAAGTATATACAGAACAGCAAATATGAACGTGCATTATGAAATGCATTAAGTGATTTTAAAAGGATCAACTCCGTACAGGCAAGCAGACGAGCCCAGAACGCAATGCATTAAATTGCACGTTAAAAATTTTCCTCCCATAGAAAATCATTATAAATAAAACACGTAATGTAGCTTAATGGACAAAGACAATGATATAAAAGAGCTGTAGACAGTTCATTCTATATGAAAAAACGCTTAACGCGAAACTTTGCATGTTGCATTTATTCTGGGCTCACCTGCTTGCCTGTATATTAGTTATGTGGGCTATATTTTAATAATGAAGAGCATCGAGTTTGGTCTTTATCATCTTAGTCCATTATGCCACATTATGCCACGCTTTGCGGTGTGGGAGGAAAATACTATATACATATTCATATTAATAAACTGTATATTGAATTTGATATTTTAATAGCATCTTAATACATTAAGCCATGTTAAGTGTTTATGTCTTATATGTCTACAGGAGGAAAACGCTTAGAGAGAGACTTTTGCGCATTGTGTTCATATTATGCTGTTCTGTGGCCACGGATTTGTGGGTCTTGTCTTTTTCTCCTACAGATGGCTTGCAGGACCCTGTATGTTATAGTATAAAATTAGTTTTAATTGTTTAATCACCACCACAGCGTCTTGTCTCCATTGTCAACACGCACGATTTGTGTCGATTGCAAGTGACGTCGCAGGTGTCGGAGAGTGCAAGTGGCGATTGCAAGTGACTTCGCAATTTAGTTTCTTTTGTCTTGTCTTCACCACCTGGCTACTGTTGTAAAATGTCGAGAGATTCAAACAAAAAGAATAAATAAATAGAACAAAATAAAAAATAAAGACTGCAAGTGACGTCGCTAGCGGAAGCGCAAGTGTCTGAGAGTGCAAGTCTGAGAGTGCAAATGCAAGGCTGCAGCCAGACCCTTCTCGAAATTTCGCAGGCAAAATAAAGTCATTTCAACACAGGTCCATGCAAAAGGGAATTTCGCCTTAGACGAAAGATTCAGTTCAGCTGTTCACAAGAAACATAGAAATTCTAGGTTTCAAAAGTGAAACATTTGC